CAAGGAAAAAAAGAAAAAAAAAAAAAAAAAAAAAAGCGACTAACATGAAAATCTTGATCTACACAACGCCAGCCTTCAAAAATATTTTATTTGTATCACTGTTTCATGATGTCACAAGATAATTGAATGTTTCTGTACCCTAATTCTAAATATCTTTTTAAATAGTGTTTAACCTCAATTGTAAGTCTATGTTTTAACATGGTTTATGGATAATTCTGAAAGCCTCTTTACTTTTTCCTACAATTACTCATATATGGCCTTATATTTCTGTCTTGGCATCTGGAGGTAATGAATCATTTGACCAGAAAGGGATTCCTAACTTTTGGGTTGGATCCTAGTTGTACCTGCATGTGTCTGATGTCTAACATAAGTGGCTGTTCCCTTGCAGGTAAAATGGATGATGTACTGGATTGTATTCGCCTTCTTCACTACAGCAGAAACACTCACGGATATCATTCTTTCTTGGTGAGCATCCTGGTTGCTTGCTCTTCGTGGGGAGTAGAGGAAGAATGTTTGGCTACCACTTTCTCTGGTGTTCTAGGAGTGTTCTCTGAGAGCTACAGTAGGAAACTTTCTAGCCCCCTCCGTATGCTGTTTCTACCCTTAGGAGCTGTAAGAAGACCTGTGCCCCTCTAGCCCCAGGACTCCTGCTTTTGTAGCCATTGTGGCTAGCAGCTTGTAATTCTTTAATACTTTGCCTTGCGTAGGCATAAATGGCTGTGCCAAATGTTTGACATCTAGAACAGGAGATCCTATGACATATGAGACTGGTGTTCTGACTCTCCATGTAATGTTAGGGCAGGTTTAATAATAATAGTGTTTTCTTAAGGTGCTATTTGAGTCACTGAAGGTTAGGAGCTGTAGATCTAAAGGAAGTGGAAGGAGAATGAGAAGGTTCGAGGGACGTTGGAACTTGTGCTTTGGGAAATTCAGGCTTTATGGGAGAGGCTGGTAAGGGTACAAGTCTATTGTGCCTGATGTTTGGCCATTCAGGATTTCTGGTTCAGAATGAAATGCTTGTTTTGGGGCTTATCAATATCCATACTTGCTCTTGTATGTGATTTCCACCCCCCGCTGGCTGTAAATCCGCTGGGGTACTGTATCAAGCCTTTTGGCTTTCTGCAAGCATCGGAGAAAGGGGTGTTGCCTAAATACTGCAATAACAACTGCAATAAAATAGCTAAGCTAGAAATATATGTTCGTGTTTTCAAAGCTTTAATTGCTTTACACACATTTTCCAAAGAGACCTAGTAGTCCTTTTTCTTCCTGCACCAGCTTTTGAGCTCTGCATTTGATCCTCTGTCATTTTCAGTCTGGACTCCTGCACATGTTAAAATGGACCCTTGAAATGCAGAGTCTTTATTACTGACAGAGATGGGGAAATGTTTTGTATTTAAACATTTGAAACCCGTCTCCCAGCTGTAGCAAAAGTAATCTCCCACAGAAGATATGCATCTATTGTTTCAGTGGCACCCCTTGTCCTTCAGCAACTGACCTGAAGAACTGTTGACAGGAGTTTCAGGGACTGATTGGTCCTCAGTTGAGAGGTTGAGGAAGTCGCATATAGCTGTAAATCACTGCAGGTGAAGGAAGAACTGTACTGTTCGATTACCTACCAGCAGGCAGCAGAGCCAAGAGTGGTCCATGGTTTTCCAACAGTTTACTGTTGAGTGACAGGAAGGGCTATTGGATCATAACTTGGCATGTTTGCAGGAGTGAGAGATGCCCTGTGTGGGGAGGTGTTATGGCTAAGGATGAAAGACATGGAGAGCCTCCAAAAAGATCCATCCCAGGGGTTCAGATTGGTCCTAGTTCTATTTCTGGCCTCTGCCCTTTCTGAGACTTTATTCTTCCCTCTGCTGATCTGCATGTGCCACTCTCTGGACTACTTATCTCTGTCTGCCTCTGACCTGATCTTGATTCTAGCTTCTCCATCTCTCTCAGGTTTCCCTTTTATTTCGAGCTGAAAATCGCATTTGTGATCTGGCTGCTTTCCCCTTACACCAAGGGCTCCAGCGTCCTCTACAGGAAGTTTGTGCACCCAACGCTCTCCAATAAGGAGAAGGTACTTTCCTGTTGCCATAGATATTGACCTACGCTGAAAGTTGGGTGACCCAAGTTAGGCCATAGTAAAACCCCTGATTGTATGATTTTAGCTTATGCTGCCTGCAGAGATGCGCAGCTTTTGCCCTTCTAAAAGGTGCAGCCTGCTGAACATTCACTGCAGTGAGGCCTGTAGTATCCCTGCATTCTAATGTGGATGTTTGGCTTGCTGATGTTACAGGCCCTGGGGTGCACTCCTTCCACAGTTGAGCTGTTTGAATTAAAATAGAAGCGCCCTCGCAGCCCTTTTGCCTCTGCAGGCTGCAGCATCTACATTAGACATGGTGTCTTGGTTCTTGACAAGTTGCAAATGCACATCTCCATCAGATATGAACCTGCCCTAAGTAGCAAAAGGAAGACAATAACACAGGTAGCAGAAAAATAGATAACAGCTGTTAACTTCCATAGCTGATGAGCTCATCAGCTCTGTAGGTGCCTGATGACCTTTGGAATTTTAATGGGGAGGTCTCTATGGTTTTAACTAGGAATTTTAAATGGTGTGTTCCCATACTCTTTCTCTTAGGAGATTGATGAGTATATCACCCAGGCCCGTGACAAGAGCTATGAAACCATGATGCGAGTTGGGAAGAGAGGGTTAAACCTGGCTGCCAATGCAGCAGTTACTGCAGCTGCAAAGGTAATGCCTCTCCCATGTATTACAACCACCCCCTAAGCCTTTGAGGCATTAGGCACTTTCTGGCGGGCTTGCTGCCTGTTGGTCTCCCAAGGTGGTTGCTATTCATTTCACTTCACTTTTCCTCCAGTCTGCCTGTTTGCCCTGTTCTGTAGCTTGTGGAGGAATGGGAGTGGACTGCCTCATCCTCTTTTCTTTTGGTCTCTGGAGAAGGCTTGTCTTTTCCCTGTTCTTCCCCAAGGGTTTCTGTGTGGGAGATGGGACGTCTTTTCCCTCTAGCTTGTCTCAGATGCTCGTGTCATAAATACCTTCATATGTGTGTCATGCTCTCCTAGGGTCAGGGAGTTCTGTCCGAGAAGCTACGGAGTTTCAGCATGCAGGACCTAACTCTGATTAGGGATGAAGACGGTGTGCACCTGCGGAGTCCTGAGCCACGGCTGCATCCCTCTGGTGGGGGCCTTCTTGAAACCATTGACGATTCGGGTACAAAGTCTTTCTGTTTGGCCATTCCATGAGGTCCTATGCAATGGATGAGAGGAAGAGAAGCTTGTGGGATGTGCATAAGAGTAGAGGTGACCCGATATCAGTGTGATACCAGATTGGCACTGATATAAAGAAAATTGGCCTTGTCGGAAATTGGCCCCAGTGTGGCCAATAAAGGCTCGGGCGTGCACGCAGGTGCAGCACAGCACACACACACAGTGAGGAGCGCAGCCCTGCAAGCTTGGGGAGCTGCCTCCAGCTTGTAAGTTTTTTGTGGTGGAAGGGGAGAGAAGGGGCATGGGGGGGACAGATCAATGTCCCCCGTGGTGAGGGAGGAGTGGGGCAGGGGCTGGGGCAGGCACTGCCCAGCCAAGGTGGGTTATGGAACAGCACCGCAGCTTGTTGGGCAGGGGGCAGCTTCTGCCCTGCACACACTTTGGGGCAGGGCATGTGACCCTGGATCTGTGCAGGGCAGGCTGGGGCTGGGGCCAGGGTGGCACCAGTTTCTTCCTGACATGGGGTTAGGGGCGGAATCGCAGGGGTTGGGCCGGGATGTGCTCGGGGCAGGCGGTGGTGGGAGAGGGGCTATGGGGTGGGGGGGGCTGCAGCCACCCCATATTTCACTGTGGTGTCCCCCCCCCGAGAGTCACCTTCCTAATGCTGCTACTGCCTGGCCCAACCTTCCCTCCCCCTGCCCCAGGCCAGGAAGAGCCTGGTGCTGCCCCAGCCCATAGCTGCAGCCTACCCTGCCCGCGCCCTTCGCAGATCTGGGTGGCACATTTCTCCCCCACTCCTGTGCCCTCCTTGGGTGCACGCCATGGTGGGAGCCACCACCCGTGCCTCCCAGACGAGCCATGGCTCCGTTCTGTGCCCTATTCCTCCCCTCCCAGCTGCACAGCGCCTGTCCCAGCCCCACTCCTCCCTCACTGCAGAGGGCGTTGATCTGCCCCCACAACACCCCTTCCCTCCTCCCTCCCTGTCCGCCACAACAGACTTACCAGCTGCACACAGCTATATTGCAAATTGGATCGCTATCAGCTGACATGCCTCCTTAATTGGCTATTGGTCTCTGCCCCCAAAATCTCTATCTGTGCACCCCTACATAAAGGGTTATCAGTACCCCAGATTCCTCTTGTGTCTCCACCTGCCTCAATGAATCCTCCAGGTCCTTGAACCAAGGACTGCTGAGAACTCTTTTCTTCCACCCTGCCTTGCCTGCCATTTTCAGCTCAAAGAAGCCCCCGGTCAAGTGTTAAGTGTAGCATTTTTTTCTCTTCCTTAGCTTCCTGTTACTCTTCTGGAGAAGAAGCCAGTGTAGCACAGAGGTCTAATGGGGTCCAGTCTGATGCTAGAACAGATCCATCAGATGATGATGCAGGAGACAAAATGCCCAAACGTACTCAGAGTCTTAAAGCTCCAAAGAAAGTGACAAAAACTGAGGTGAGTTGGTATGTAAATGTATTCCTGGGCATGTGCTGCAGGACGTGGGTGGAGCCATGAGCTGTGGTGGCTGTGTAGATCACTTGGAAAAATCAGTCTGCTTGCAGTGTTTTACAAGCAGCCTAACTCCTCTTCCAGTTGGGGGCACTACTGTTTTGTTGAGGACTTTCCCATGGAAGCGCTTGTTACCTGCCTGCTGCATGGGTCTCTTGTTAATTTGTTGTGGCCAGGAGCCCCAGTTGTGGCTCACTTACCTACTTTTACCGTGAAAGAGAAATTTGTGCATCTCTTGCAGTGTCGGTTGACTGTAGTGTCCACAGCTGTCTCTATTATAGACAGTGTGAATGCAGTAACAGCACCTCTGGTGCGATGCAGTTTGTGAGCAGGGTCCCTGAGGATGTCCTGTATCCCAGTGCAGTTCTTTGTCCTTTTGGGCTTTTGCAGAATCTTAACTGTTAGACCTGGAAAAATACCTGGTCCATAGATTTCATAAACATTAGGGCTGGAAGGGACCCTGGAGGATCATCGGGTCCATCCAGCCCCCTGCCCGGGGGCAGGAAGTCATCAGGGATCATAGGATCCCAGCAAGATAAACATCCAAATGTCTCTTGAAGGCGTTCAAAGTAGGTGCTTGAACTGCCTCTGTCAGCAGTCCTATTCCAGACCTTGGGGCCTCGGACAGTAAAGAAGTTCTTCCTTATGTCCAGCCTGAAACGGTCATGGAGGAGTTTGTGACTGTTTGACCTTGTCATCCATTGGGGCCCTCTGGTGAACAAGTGTTCTCCCAGATCCTGGTGAATACCCCTTATATACTTATAGGCTGCCACCAAATCCCCCCTGAG